CACCAGGTGCCAGGCTGGAGTGCAGTGGCACAATCTCGGCTCACTGCAACCTCCGCCTCCCGGGTTCAAGCAATTCTCCTGCCTCAGCCTCCCGAGTAGCTGGGACTACAGGCGCACACCACCATGCCCAGCTAATTTTTGTATTTTTAGTAGAGACGAGGTTTCACCATATTGGCCAGGATGGTCTCGATCTCTTGACCTCGTGATCCGCGTGCCTCGGCCTCCCAAAGTGCTGGGATTACAGGCTTGAGCCACTGTGCCCGGCCTAATTTTTTTTTTTTTTTTTTTTTGGAGACAGAGTTTCACTTATGTTGCCCAGGCTAGAATGCAATGGCGAAATCTCAGCTCACTGCAAACCTCCGCCTCCCAGGTTCAAGTGATTCTCTTGCCTCAGCCTCCCGAGTAGCTGGGATTACAGGCATATGCCACCATGCCCAGCTAATTGTGTTGAGATGGGGTTTCACCTTGTTGGTCAGGCTAGTCTCAAACTCCCGACCTCAGGTGATCCATTCATCTCAGTCTCTCAAAGTGCTCGGATTACAGGCATGAGCCATTGCATCTGACGCTCAGCTAATTAAAAAAAAAATTTTGTAGAGGGAGGTCTTGCTATGTTACCCAGGTTGGTCTTGAACTCCTCACCTTAAGCAATCCTCCCACCTCAGCCTCCCAAAGTGCTTCAGACACCATGCCTGACCACCACCTTTTAGATTTACTTCGCAAAATCTCATGTAATCCCCAAGCCCACAAATGTTTCAGATAGTTCAAGTGATACTATAGTACTAGGTGAGGCAGTAGAGTCAGAAAGGGAGGAAAAGTCATTATTATATTGGGTTTCTGAGATATCTGCAAGTCCTAAATATAGGAGATCAAAAAGAGATGGTGGAATTTCACTTCTTTTTTTTTTTTTTGAGACAGAGTCTAGCTTTGCTGCCAGGCTGGAGTGCAGCGGTGCAATCTCAGCTCACTACAACCTCTACCTCCCAGGTTCAAGTGATTTCCTTGCCTCAGCCTCCCGAGTAGCTGGGATTACAGGCATGTACCACCACACTCAGCTAATTTTTTGAATTTTAGTAGGGACGGGGTTTCACCATGTTGGCCTGGCTGGTCTGGAACTCTTGACCTCGTGATCCACCCGCCTCTGCCTCCCAAAGTGCTGGGATTACAGGTGTGAGCCACTGCACCCAGCCATAATTTTACTTCAAACTGATGCCCTCCCGCTCCAGTGTTTTGAAGGTGGTATTTTGAAGAACACCCTTGGCTTGGGTGTTCTTTCCTCACCCTTCCAGAGGGGCTCCATGCTCTTCATCATCATCATCAGAATCAGAATCAGTTTCAGATGAATCATCATCATCATCGTCATCATCATTTTCACTAAAGCCCCGTTGAGGTGTCAAGTGTGAAGTCTTTTTCTTCTCCTGAGATAGGGCAGGGCAGGCAGAGAAAGCTTCACATAAAAAAATCTAACGTACCTATGCCCAGTTCTCTATCGCTGTAACCAACACCCCACCCACCTGGCACCCAATCACCAGAAGAAGAAGGAGGCACTTCCCAGAAGGGGCTTGAGTGCCTTCTGCCCCTGCTCAGCTATAAATGGGGACTCCACTTTCTAGAACCATATTCCATTTCTCTACTTGAGGCTGGGGTTATAAATTCCATCTAATTTTATCTATTGTACAGATGACTTAGATCCTCAGAGCTCTGCATACACTTTAGACAGCTTTGGCCCAAAAAGCTATGGACTTTCAAAGAAGAAGATGGCAACTCTAATTATTTTGGAAGAAAATCAGGGAAGATGAAGAGGGAATAAAAACTTTAAGGGTCTTAATACTCACAAAGACCATAGAGAGGAAATCTAGTATTTAATTTTCAAGACAGCTCAGAGTAAGCTGCTTGAAACTACCAAAAGAAGAAAGTTCAAAACCAACCTTGTGCCCATCTAACCAACAGTTTCTATAGACTTTCCATTTTTGTTCAGTGATATTTCTCTTCATGCAGTATCTGATCTATCTGTATTTCCCTTCCCCTACCCCATAAATTACATACAATGACTATACATTCTCTCTTAAGCAGCTCTTTTGTTCTTGCCATTATAACCTGCCTTTCTGTGCTTCTGGCTCTCTCTGTACCATCCCACCTTCTCAAATCCATGAGAAGGGGTCTGGTGGCACCTGGGACTTGCAGAGGCAGGCAGAACAGGGTCCATGTCTTTGCTTCTGTGGCCTGGAGCCTGTGGCATGCCCTCTCTTAGGACCTGAAGGATGACCAGTTGGCCCCCTTTAAAAGTAGGTTTCCAGCCAGGCGGCAGGGGCTCAAGCCTGTAATCCCAGCACTTTGGGAGGCCGAGGCAGGTGGATCACAAGGTTAGGAGATCGAGACCATCCTGGCCAACGTGGTGAAACACTGTCTCTACTAAAAATACCAAAAAATAAGCTGGGCGTGGTGGTGCATGCCTGTAATCCCAGCTACTCAGGAGGCTGAGGCAGGAGAATCGCTTGAGCCAGGTAGTTGGAGATTG